AGTATCATTTTCTGAGATATCAAGTTCAGAGTGGAGTGTTAGAAGTTGTACACTGCAACACTCAGAAGCAGTTGGCAGATGTTCTGACGAAAGCTATCAAGACTGATCAATTTCTTAGACTAAGGGATGGAATTGGTGTTACAAGTTTTGATGGAATATGAATTAAGGGATGGTATTAGAATATTAATAGTAATTCATATTTATTTAGTTGTACTATTTTTCCTTAGCCCCTAAGTTTGTTAGAGGGTATTTTAGTATTTTATCTTATTCTAGTAACCCTAGTTTTAGCTTATAAATAGGGTGATAATCATTGTAACTATTATCATGTTTTTGTAGCCGTCATTCTTAATAGAATATTTCCTTTGTTCATCATTTATTCACCTTTGCACCAACAATCGTGAGCTCATTTACATTGCTCAAAAATATATTTTAAACTCCCGTATAGATAATATCCTTTTATAAATATTTAATATAGATGCACTAACATTATGAGTTAACTAAAATACAAAATAATTTGGAGTAACATAGAAATATTACTATAAACCTACCAGGAGCAATTGGAACACAGTGAAATCTACTAAACTCTCTTTATTATAACACTATTTTTTCTCATTATTTTTTTAATTAATATATCTTTTATCTATAACTTAAATTAACTCAGTTTTTCATATAACTTTTTTTGTAGTAGTAGTTTTTCATATAATTAAGTTACACTAATTTCATTTCTTACCCCATTTTATATTTTAATGTTTAGTTAATATGTAATCTTTTCATCTATTTGTCCAACATAATTTATGTTTCTTTTTATTGATTGCCCATTTTTTCTTCGTCTTTTTTATATTTTAGTTTTGATTTATATTTTTAACATATGTTTTACAAATAATACTTTTTTGTGTAAACTTCTTTTTTCCAAAAACAAATATATTTATTTTAAATCTCGTCCATATTTACCAATATTTTTCAACATAATTAGTGAAATTATGTTGCTTATAAATTGTATATGTGTTTGGCAGTTACATTAAGAAAATGGAAAATAATACCCGTCAGATATCAAGTCAACAACAAATGACAAGAAGGGCCGAAAATGAAAGGAAGAGGAGACAAAATATGAATCTCGAACAAAGAAAAAATTATTTATCGATACGACATGACAATTATAGGCGGCAGAAAGAGTAAGATAAACAAGCTCAAACATCTTGCACTATGAACAGTCGGAGGAGAGTTCCATTTCAAAATTTTACAAATATGAGATCTCCAATATCACACTTTCAAGGAACTCATGACAATGAAGTCGGCCCAAGTAGAATTATACATGTTAATGATGTTGAACTTGGTTGGTGATGATCAATATAGACATTATAATCGTACTTTGTATAATATTGTTTATTTGGCATCCCTCATTTTATGTATTTAAACCCGCAAATCATAATTTCACATCACCTAACCAACGTATCAACAATAGTCACTCTGCTACAGGTATACAAGATATTGTTTTACATATGCGAGCAGCAATTTCAACATATATATATATATATATATATATATATATATATATATATATATATATATATATATATATATATATATATATATATATATATATATATATATATATATATATATATATATATATATATATATATATATATATATATATATATATATATATATATATATATATATATATATATATATATATATATATATATATATATATATATATTAAGATATAAATATGTTAATTATTATTTTTGTATTAGGCGATATGGATGTTGATGAAGCTTTGGAGGATGCAGTAATATCAGATGTTAACATGGAAGCCATAAATGATGGTGCATCATGTCGTCCTCAAGGTATGTTCATAAACATTTTTGTGCCAAATAATGTAGCTTATACTCTTTCTTATTGAATTTCATAGTTATGGTGGTCGCGGGTTGGTGCTACAAGGTGTTGTGGAGGATTAATTCAGTATGTTTAAAATAATAGTAGCATTAATATATAGTTAATTCACTAAAGTATTTTTAGTATATATACATTTATCATCCTGATTTTAAGACTACTTGAGAATATCTAAAAACAAATGCATTAATTAATCTTAAATATGATAAAAACTCCATACAAAATATACACACGTTTATTTTTCTATGCCGTGCGCATTAAAAAAAGCGGACAGACGGACACAGGAGTGCCCGTCTAAATGATAGTAATAAATAAATTAAGTAAATATTCTAACTAATTTAAAGTGTTACATGCCCTAAAGAGTATAAAATTTTATGAAAAGGAGAGAATGCACCATTATAAATTATCACACACGCGCCTCTTGCTTAGCCGGACCAAACTGAGTCCGGTCAAGCTTGGACTTAGGCGATCCATTCTTTAATCCATAAAAAATTTAATTAATTTAATGGATTGTTCTTAATCGTTGCATCAATTGTGTTTAACCGAGGGTTCCCGCGTTTTACTAGGTGCCCAAGGCTTCCCACGTTTTCCTTCAGACCACACCACCTTCATTGATTACTTGTTCAGAATTCCTCTATAAATAAAAGTCTTTGTCACTCATTTTTTCCACACCAAACTTTTGTATTAATTAAAATATTTCTCCTCTCATCTCTGTTTCATTTCTATAATTTTCTTTTCTCTTTTATTCTTCAGTAGCTGATTGCCCCTATACAACTGGTATTCATATTATATACGATTGGTTTTTGTACCATTAAAGTGTATATTTTGATCGATTACCTATTATTGTTCACTTAAAAATTAAGTTGTTTTATCGTGATATTGTTTATTGTTTGTTTTGTATATTTTTAGACTATATCGCAAAACGTATTAACAAAAACAATCTAGTCTTTTATGTGATATTTTTCAAAATCAATATTTTAAATTGAAAAAGAACTGATTTCTACATGAATAAAATTTAGAAAATAAAAATTACAATGAAATACGAAAAAAATACTATACAATCCTTATTAAAATACAATACTATACAATCCTTATTAAAATACAATACAGCCAAATAATATCAAAATAACATTAACTATCAATTAACCTTGAACAGGTAAAACTAAGAACGTGCGAAAATATTGTTAATTGGATCGTATTCTCATACATTGAAGCTTGTTGCACCGGAAACTATATATAAAGTTTGGAAGTATAGGAACAATAAGTGTTAGGGTAGCATTGTAAGTAATACAAAGATATATGAAAAATTATAGATAGTATTATTTATAGAGGTGAGATAATAGAAAGCTTAGAGTTTACATTGTGAGCGAGTAATGTTGAATTAGTTTACTTCCCTTTCTTGTTGACTACTCTTTGGTGGTTTGGGATTGGATTCTGACTATCTGTCTCGTGTATAATACATTTGTTTTTTAATTAATTAAAGTTCTTTTGATTCAAAAAATATTTTTTTTAAATTAAAGAATCATTTCTTTTTTATTTTTTTAGTTCTTAATAAAATTAAAAAGTTAATTAAAAAATATATTCTTTTTTAAAATATAAAATTGATTTATAATTTTTACACATTATAAATTAATTTAAATTAAAAATTGATTCTAAACTAATTTTAGATTAAATTGAATTCATATTTCAACATGTGTATTTTTATGAATCATAAACACCTCTAATTAATATTTTTTTTATTTCAAAAAGTAAAAAAACTCAAAAGAATGGAGGAAAAATCTCAAGAATGGCCTATTGATGTTGAAATTCGTCTCCCGATAAATTATTATCTCGGACTATTCATCATGTTTGAATTTTCAATGTGAATAAGTTTTTTTTTAATGGAAGCCTTGATGAAGAGAAGGGGGGAAGAAACAAGAAGTTTCCAGTGACCAGACCATTTCTTACCACTAGTCATTTTCCAACATCTCTGCTGATGTTTTCTTTTTACCTCTCAGGGCAGCTGTCCCCACTTCTCATTTAGTTGTTTATGATATTACAAAAAATTTGAATAATTTTGATTTTCATTTAATTAAACACTATAAAAATTATTCAATATTTTTTAATTTTAAAAATTAAATATTTATGAATTATTGAAAAAATAATTTTTTAAATAAATAAATAAAAGCTATAGTAAAAAAATTAAAAGAAAAAATTATTCTACAATTTAAAAATATAAGAACCTTAAAAAAACAAATCTTAGATGTTCGGTGTATGTTATGTTTTTTGGATATAAAATAACCAAACTTTTTTATTCAGTAAATATTATATTTATTTTATCACTTTTACATTAATATTATACCCCCATTAACAAAAATAATTTCTTGATCCTAATTTTTCTAATGTTAGATTTAGAAATCTTACAATCACGATAGGCAATGTGACTTACAACATGATATGATGGTTTTAGTTTCCAATCAAATCAAAGCAAATTCATGGTGTTATTGCAGAAATGAATGAAATTGAAAATAGTGTAAAAAATATGAAGAGACTATCATAAAATTTATGGTTCTATTTTATCTAACGGTCAAAAATAAAGTGGACCATTTTATCAGTGGTCCATACTAAATGTCGCCGCATTATTTACAATGCATCAGTGAAGAAACTAGATACCAAAAGTACAAATTACACACACACCAAATATAACTTCACATGTGCAATGTCTGCGGGTTTTATAATTTACTCATCTTAAATCAAAAGAAACAATAAAACATGTTGTACACGTTCCAAAGAAAAGATTCCATCAGAGGAGCAATTGGTGATGCATATATAACTTTGGACAGATAATGAATACTACTACATACACTAAATAAATAAAATCAATACCAGAACAAAAATACAAATGCCATAAAACTTGTGGGGCTAACCAGCCTTTCAAATGACAAGAAAAAATTGTAGGGACACTATAGTACAGTGGTATTCCCAAGTAATCTACAATAATCTCACTCTATGTCATGCACTGTACTAACGGTCCTTCAACAAATGTATAGATTTCCTGCTATATCAAGTATCTCTCACAGGGTTATGTTTGTAGACCAGTAACAAACTAAGTCTATACAATGCTAGTCACCAGAAACGTATTTTCTTTCTTCATAGTATCTCTTCTCACTCTTGGCTTTCTTAGCATTCCGTTGCTGCATCGAACATAATAAAAGACAAGCAGAAAACCATATCATAACTTAAACTAAAATACCAACTCAGAAAGTTGGTTCAATATTCAAAAAAGAAGGAAAAAGAAATTACCACATAAGCATCATGATTGGCCATTATCCTTTGGGCTACTGAGGTAGTAGTAATATCTTTTGGGCTTTCAAGCAAGCGGAATTTGCCAATGCTCTTTGGAACTTCATAAGGATCTTTTTCACTCTGTACAATACAAATTTATCAGTAATAGAAAGTGATATTCTATTACACATGAAGAAAAAAAATGGGAGAAAACTTACGGGTAATGACTTCTCAGCAACAGTGCCGTGAACAACCAGTGAGATGTTGAAAGTTGTGATCTGTTTGATTCCAAAAAAAATAAACCTCAAAAAATATTCGATGGATTCAAATTATGTTAAATATCATATTTCAGACCCCCTGTGTTAAATTGATGCAAAATATATATGCACAAATAGATGCAATTCAGTCATTTCAAGTTGAGAACAAATGAATAGGGATGATTTTTCATGAAATGATAGAAGCTATTACTACACCTATGGACACTAATTTAACGTTGTGCTAATATTTCTCTTTATGCAACTATCATGCATAGAGGAATTACATCCCTCCCTTGAGTACACCAGAAAATTAGTAGTTATCAAAAAGAGTACAACAGAGAGACAAAAAATGAGTAATGAGTACGACTCAATGCACCAATTACTATTTCAAATAACTTGAAAGAGATACAGATAATGTAGAATTGGGGACATACCATGTCCTTTGTAATTTCAAAAGGTGCACCAATAATGACTTCGTCAACATAACGGCAAGCTAACACACTAAGGCTCCGCTCATGTAGATGCATAATTGGATAGTGATTTCCTCGATTTTCACTGCAGGAAATTTGTTAGTTTCTCATTAATGGTTGGCATGAATACCAGAAGAATACACATAAAGTCAACATGATAAAAATCTGTATACCTCACTGTCTCATCAGAGTGAATACCAACTAGGAGAAAATCTCCAAGTTCTCTAGCTCTCTTAAGCATCTGATAGAACACAGAATAATGAATCAAACAGAATGATATCGAATAAAAGGATTAAATGGTTCCTGTGGCACATGGTGATCCATGAATTTAAGCATTTAATTGGGGATAACAAATCACACTCTACTTGAAACCTATCTTTACCTGAACATGACCAGCATGGAAGAGATCAAATGCTCCATCAATGTATACAATACGAGCATTTGGCCTTGGACCCTAAAATAAGATTAAAAAAATGGATGATCAAACAAAAAAGTTTAGCAAACTATATTGAAGAAAACAAATTACCCATTTTACCCTTGAAACCACCAAAAGTCACATAATTTCAAATTGATATGATATAGCATAGTTCTTATAGAATGATGAACCAGATATATGATACTCCGTCTTTAAAAGAGTGGATTACACAAGTAACCAAATACCTTGCCATTTGAAAACTGCACAATACGTCGGGAAGTTGGTAGGAATTGGGAGATGTGGGAAACCTTTGACTGGCATTCGTCTTGGGGTTTAACATCTTCGCGATTGTTTTGTTCTTTTAAAGAAGACATTATTCTTCCTGTATTGAATCATAGTTAGACTAAATGCATATGATTGTCATAACAATGATTATTGAAATCAGCTTATGAGCATCAGAAAGGCATTGATTATGAAACCCCACACCACATGTTAAAGAGCCCAAGTAAAATTTTCATCATAAGAAAACAAATTGCACACACTCGTACAATATTTTTCCTGCAGGACCATTTTCTCCCAGCAAAACACTTGGACCCATACTCACCCCACACCCCCACACAAAAAAAATATCTATCAACCAGAAAATGTGGCCACAATTCACAGAAATCCTGGATTTCAATAGAAACTTAGTACCTACGATATCCGTACTAGAGACTCCTTCAGTACGTTTAATTTGTTTGTAACGGCCAGCTTTCTTTGCCGCAGCATAAGCATCTGTTCCGTCAGGAAGCAGGCAAGGATCATCACCATGTATGACATAGTCAATGTTGTATTCATGAAAGAGACGGTTCAAGAAATTCTCAGTGATTGCATAAGGAGCATCAGTTATGACTTCATCCACCCACTTTAATCCACTGACTAGGGCCAGCCTGGAAAACAAATACATTCTCAAATAATAAGTTAGCTTCCGAGATCCCGTTTTCAAAATTACCAATACTGAAGAAGAGGCAGTCATAAAAAGTTAGCTTTAACATTAATAACAAAAAGACTACATTACAAATTTCTGGAGTTGATTACGTGATGTTTACAGTCCATTTTCAAATGAAAAAAAAAAAAAAAACACAAGTATTTATACCTCTCATCCATGGACAAAACAGGAGGTCCTTTATTAGCCACAATCTCTTCATCGCTAACAAGCCCAACAACCAACTCATCACCTAAAGCTTTAGCTTGTCTGAGTGCATTAGCATGACCATAATGCATCAGATCAAAACACCCATCCATGTAAACCCGAACGCGCCTCTTCCCAACGTTCTTCTTCTTGCGAAAAACCCCCAAATCGTACCAAGAATGCGGAAGTGGCAAAGAAGGAACCCCAATCACACCAAAGTAACTTGTTGACAAACCCAACAAAGCCGCCGTAACCATTAAACCACCAAACAAATGTGGATAGTAGTACACCCCTTCCCAAATCCAACTATTACTCTCATAATCCATCTTTTCCTTTAAATTTTCTTATTCCAGAAACTAACTAGCTTTTATATTAAGAGGAGCCACAAACCTGAAAAGACCTGAAAAACAAAGCCATGATGTAAAAAAGGAATCAAAATGAATTTTACTATGAAGGACGGACACCCCAAACACGACACTCGATACTACACGACTCTGACACGGCGACCTCAGTAATAATATTAGAAAGTGAATAAATTAAACATAACAGTGCTGGTAGGAGTTCGACATGGACACATACACGTTCAGGCTTTTTTTTAGATATTTAGAGGTATCGGTGCTACAAGGAATTTTAATCTCATCATATTCATACATACATAAATCTCACCATTCTTTCAAGCTCAATTCAAATTCACACCATGAGAATGAAAATCCACAACAGAAAAAAAATTAAAAAATAATAATAATTACATTTGCATGTAAAATTCAGATAGAAAACAAAAATAAAAAATCAAATAATTGAAATCTCCTCAAATTCCGGATCTAGCTAAGAACAACAAAATAGTAATGCATAATCGTTGAATTAAGTTTAACATGAATTAAGTATTCAGATTCGAATTCATGCGTGAAAGAAACGAACGAGAAAGTGAAAACCTAGCTGAGATCGTGAACGAAATTAACGACTAAGCAAGCAAAGCATGAACAAACAAAAAATCGGAGAATTATGCAATTAATTAATTGAAAATAGAAATGAAAAAATGAATGATGAAAATCATATGAACCTGTAGTTGATCGATTTGTGTCTGTGTCTCCTCTTTCTTCTTCTTCTTTTTTTCTTCTGTGTTTTTCTTCTCTCAGATTCTAACGCAGAAACGAAAAGCACTTTCTTCAGCAAATATCCTATTTTCTGAATATATATAATTTCAATTGTGAAATATCTCATTTTTATATTTTTATTTTATTTTTTAATAGCAGTTTATTTATGGTTCGAGAATGAAAATAAAATATCTAGATGTTGGTTATTTGTTGTTCCGCCCACGAAATGAAATGAGTCATTCATTGGATTTACGTGGCATATGCGTTGTTGTGTTGTTTATGGTCCTTATTATATAGCCTCAAGTACATTATTTTGTTTTTTTTCAAATATTTTATACTTCTTATTACATAAAATTCTCCATCCATATTTATAAAGATTAATCTCTTGACTCAAAGAAAATTACACGATAATTTCATGATAATTATCTTTTCAAAATATATATATATATATATATATATATATATATATATATATATATATATATATATATATATATATATATATATATATATAGAAAGAGAGATTTTGTATAGACTTAAATGCACTTTTGGTCACTTATTTAGGTGAATTTAACTTTTTGGTCCCTCATTATAAAACTCAGTTTTTTAATTTCTAAGTTTTTTAATTTCTATATACCTCACTTTTTGAGATTTGTTATAATCTTCCTTGACTTTTTTGCACATGTGGTCTGGTCATTTATGACGTAGATATTAGTGTCATGTAAGCATTTTGTTATTTTTTATTTGAAATTAATTACAAATTATTTGTTTATTACAAAGTTAATAAGTTAATGTTAAAAATGAATTTTTAATTGACAATTGAAATAAAATAGGAGTCTTCTTTTCCATTAACGAAGAGTCTTCTTTTCCACTTAGTTTCCATACTTGAACCCTAATCCTATTTTCTCACTTTCTCCTACAATCAAATCAAATGAAGCATAATTCTTAGTTGTTGCTCAACAAATTAGAACCGAAACCAAGTTGTTTTGTCAATCAAACTAAAACCACGCACTTCGTTTTCTAAAATTCATCCCATTTGTTTGCTATTAAGATGACGAAAGGAAGTTCCCAATAGGTTAATAATGAACAACTCAAGTATTGTGTAAGGTATGCTTTTGTCCCTTTTGCAAAGCCATCATGGTCTCACTTGTTTTCTTTTTTATTTCGTTTGTTATGGTCCACTATCATTTTTTAATGTTAACATGTGGTCCCAAATATCTTGTTGTTGTCTGTTTTTTATGTTGTGGTCCCATTGCATGATATTTATTTAAGTTATATTTTGATTAACTCTTAGGTCATTTAAGAGTCATAAGATTAGGTTAAGTATACACCATATAAGAGATTAGTTGAGGAACTTGTAAAATGGTATGTTGAAGGGGAAATATCTTAGATGAATTGGAGTTGGAATGTGGATTACATGTCATACACAGAGTTGGAGAGTTTAATTAAATCATAAGGTGCATTTGGTATTGGAACCCTAAGTATAGTTTTTCCGTGGTCTTAGACCCTTGAATAATGATAATGATATTCTAAAAGCTGGCAACGATATGATAAGGCTTGAGTTAACAGATGTATATATTGAGCACAATGTAATCTTGGGATGGTGGATCCAAGTGATGTAGGTACCAATTTTTTTTATGATGATGTATAATGCACTGGTGTTAGAAATGAAAATTATGTTATTGATGAAGAAGTGAATATTGAGACTATTGAAGAACATGAAATTACTAATGTTGGTGGCAATACTGAGCTTGATGAAGAACATGAAAGTTCTAATATCGATGCCAATATGGAGCTTGTTAAAGAACATGAAAGTCCTATTGTTGGTATTAATGTTAGAACAAAATTGGTTTGTACCATATCTCTAAGATTATGATGATAACAAAGTATTTAAAGAACAATAAGATATACTAATAAATATTCAAGTGTGCAGGATCATAGACTAAAAATTTCTGAAGAGAACTTAGTACTAGTTATGAGAATGGAGATTTAAAGAGAATTTAAAGATCTAGATTCTGAAAGATCAAAAGCTAAAAATCAGACTCTGAATGATGTCAACCTGTGAAGATCTAGACTCTGAATGAGGTCATCCTCTGAAGGTCCAGGCTCTGAATGATGTCATCATCTAAAGATCCAGACTCTAATAATTCAAACTCTAAAGCATCAGCCTCTGGAGAATCAGACTCTGAAGATCCAGTCAATGCAAGGACCGAGGAGATTTTGATAGGTCACAATCAGACTTTGAGGACATTTTGTCTTATTCTGATCACGTGAAGACTAAAGAAAAAATCAGTAAAAGGCAATTGAGATGCAACGTATAATTTCTTTTGTAGCAAAGGGATTTTAAATTAGTTTTCAATGGTATTAACCATATCAAGAAACATTTTAATGTCTCTGAATAAAGCTTCTCAAAGACCCTCTTGAGAAAACTCTTCAATGACTATTTTTCTGTAAGTTCTGTGACTTTTGGGTTGGTTAGATTTTGGTAAAACAACATGTGGCTAGCAAGATGTTAAACCAGATGTTCTGCCATGAAGTCAGACATCATGTTCTGCATGATGTTGTGACATGTTCCAGGACATGTTCTACTAGAACGTTAGTGTCGTACCTCGAAAAAAGTACAATCCTTCGCGAATGGTCGCGGAAAACAGAGTCTTCACCGAACTTTATTTATCCCAAAGAGGGAAAGGAAAATATCGAGAAAACCTTTAGGTAAAGAATATGGTCATCGCAACCAAGTTTTAGGTTTGGGAGTCGGTTACGCGAGGGGAAGGTATTAGCACCCCTCATATCCGTTATACTCAACGAGAACCTCTTGATTCGATTCGTGAGAAATGTTAGCTCAGTTTGTTTGTTTTATTCTAAGGAAATAAAGAGTAAAGGTAAGGTAAAAAGGGGTTAAATTACTAAGGAGAAATGAATGGCTTTAGGTTAGAATGCTCGCCAAGGATTGAGGCTTTTGCGCCTACGTATTTTTACTTGAAATAAGTGAAGAATCAGAGCGTTTGTAGTTCGTGAGACTAAGGTAGAAAAGAGAGAAGTTTGTTCGCTAAGATCTCGCAATCCTATGCCTATGTATACTTATTGACAAATGAGAAATCAGCGCGTATGTAGTTCGGACTACGGATATTGGTTTGAATTTATTGAAAGATACTTAGTCGTATTCAACAGAAAATAATGCTTTGCCCAAACGTGTGAGGAGGAAACGCTTGCATCACTTTGAATGGATTTCCATATATCAACATTCATGGGAAACACGCCACTTTTCTCGACTCAAATAGGTTACGGACGAAGCAATATTTTACGTCATCTTAAGACACCATATCTCACGTTTGTGAAAAGATTTGACGGTTCGCACGACGGAGAGGAGTTGAATTAATATGTTGATGTATTTGTTTGGATGACGATTACTTAAAGCTTAAGAAAGACTCCTCGGGCTCAAGTAATCGGGAGAGTGAGTTAAAGACTTGACTCTCTCTCTTTTTCATATAGAAACGAGGTTGTATTCGGACAGTGTTTTGAAAGATGGAAGATAGTTAAATTATTTTAAACGGATGACAACTACTCGAAGTTTAAGAAAGTCTCCTCGGACTCAAGTAATCGGGAGAGTGGGTCAGAGACTTGACTCTCTCTCTTTTTCATCTTATATTATGAAAGAATTTTGATATAGATAGAGTAAGTTACAAATGACGATTACTCGAAGCTTAAGAAAGACTTCTCGGGTCCAAGTAATCGGGAGAATGAGTCAAAGACTTGACTCTCTCTCTTTTTCATTTAAGTGATTGAAAAAATAATTTAATGTGAATCAGGTAATAAATATTTTGGAGAAGACAATTGTTCGAGCATAAGAAAGGCTCCTCGAACCCAAATAATTGAGGAGAGAAATCGAAGACTCCATTCCAACTCCCTTTTCATCTATTATTAAAATATAATTTAAGTATAATTAAGTTAATTAAGTTGACCTCGATAGAATGCTCGAGGTTTGAATTTGTGTATGTAAAAGTTAATGGTTTGAACTAGACGGTAAGGAGGTCCTAATGATATAAGGCAAGGTTGATGGCGAGGCACGAGGCAGACGACTTATAAGAGTATGGTTATGTCTTGATATATGGATCACATATGCTTTAGGGTTTAAAGTTCAATCATCACACAAAGACAACATATGAATAAACAAGTAAAGGAAAACAATTGACTTGAATTTTAATTGTGTGCCCTAGCAAAGTGGGCTAGTT